GCCTTTTGCCTCTAACACCAACGTGCCCAGCCTTCCATTGCTCACTGGGGGCAGGGCAGGGAGGGGTGAGGGGGGATGCTTCGGGACCTCAGTGAGGCTGTAGAGCCGGTTACTCTAGTCGATCAAGAAGGACCCAACAAAGTTTCCAAAGGCTCCAGCCCAGGGCTCGTTGTGCTGTTGAGTTGTTTTTCACTCATGTCAGACTCTTCGAGGCTCCATTTGGGTTTTTTTTTTTTTTTTGGCAAAGATACTGGAATGGTCTGCCATTTCCTTCTCCAGCTCATTTGACAGATGAGGAAACTGAGGCCAACAGGGTTAATGACTTGCCCAAGGTCAGACAACTAGTAAGTATCTGAGGGTTGGATTTGAACTTGGGTCTTCCTGAGTCCATCACTTAGCTGCCTTAAGAGCCTTAGGGCTCCCTGAACAATCCCAGTTTCCTGTGGCTTTAGGCTTCTCGGGGCACTTGCTTTTTTTTTTTTTTTTTTTAGGCAATTGGGGTTAAGTGACTTGCCCAGAGTCACACAGCTAGTGAGTGTTATGTGTCTGAGGCCGGATTTGAGCTCAGGTCCTCCTGACTCCAGGGCTGGTGCTCTAACAACTGTGCCACCTAGCTGCCCCGGGACTTGCTTTTGGCCTTGAGGCTTTCACTACTGTTTGAACCTTCCCTGATCTGGGAACTCCAGTTCAGTGTACTGAACCTTCTATGCCTTCATGGCCCCTGAACCAGCATGACCCCGTGGGTTCTGAATGTGCTTCACTCTGTGCTTTATTTGGTACAGTGGATAGAACACAGGACCTGGAGTCAGAAAGACCCATGTTCAAGTCTGACCTTAGATTCCTAACATCTGTGTGATCCTGGCCAGGTCACTTAACCGCCCTCTGCCTCAGTTTTCTCATCTGTAAAATGAGGATAATAATAGCACCTCCCTCTCAGAGTTGTTGTGAGGATCAAATGAGTTAATAATTGTCAAGCGCTTAGCACAGTGCCTGGCACATAGTAGGTGCTATATAAATGTTAGTTATTATTACTGATTGCTTTTATGACAATAGCTGGTTTCCTCATTCTGGCATCCATAAATTTTCTCTTTCCCTTATAATTCTTGTCATAAAAAGATCATAGATTTAGAGCCAGAAGAGACTGTAGAAACGAAATCCAGTCCCTTTATTTTACAATTGAGAAAACTGAGGCCCACAGATGTTAGGTGCCTTGCTTCCAGTCGCCCACAGGTAGCAGCTGTCCGAGATGGATTGGAACATGTCTTTCTAACTGCAAGACAAGCATTCTGCCCACTAAGACTTCATGCTGCCTGCTTCCTAGGCATTTCCCTTATTTATAAGGGAAAGGAGAGTATATCAATTCAGAGAGGATTCAAAAATATTTAACACGTCTAATATGATAGCAATTCTCTGTAATAGCAAAGAACTAGAAACTAAAGAGGAGTGCCCATGGATTGGGGAATGACTGAACAAATTATGGTGTGTGAATCTAACGGAACACTGTGATGCTGTAAGAAATGACAGCAGGGGATGGTTTCAGAGAAGACTTGAATGAATTGATGCAGAGTGAAGTGAACAGGAAGCAAAAAGACAATTTATACAAGGACAGTAAAGGCAGACGCCTTCGAAACACTGAACTCTGATGAACGTGGTCACCAACCCTAAGGCCCAAGAACAGACAAGGAAGCATTCTACCCACCTCCTGATAGAGAGGTGATGGAGTCCGCGTGGCAATTCTGACACACACATTTTGGGACGTGGCCAGTGGGGGAACTTATTTTGATTGAATACATGTATTTGTTGCAGTGTTTTTCTTTTCTTTTTTCACCCCAGTGGGAGAGGGGAGGTGTGAGGAAGAGAAAATACTAATCTAAAAAAAGTTAAAAACAATCCAAAGTTTCTACTATGTAGGGTGAGGTAATAAGAACTCCGTGCAGGAGAAAATTACCCATTCCAAAGTAAATGACTAAGCCATTTTGTTTAGATCATTTCCTAGCCTCATTTGGCCCATTACCCTCTCGAGACACTCTCTAGAAAACGCTTTCCTCGTGGCTTCCTGATAGAGAGGTAGCTTCTTGCCCCATGGCTTTAGGATTCACCTATAGGCCTCTCTACAATGAACTGCCTCTTCATGTCCAATCTCCAAGCCTCATTCTCAGCTGAAGACAAAGCTGCCTTCTTGTGGGGAGGCTTTGCGGGCTCCACCCATATGCTTGCATAATTGCCTGTTAGCTTTACCAACCCTTTCCCTACCCAGACACCACCCCATATCATCATGGAAGATGCCAGGAAATGCAAATAGGTGCTACTCCCATCACCTGAGAACATCAGAGGGTCTGTGATCTCAAATATTACTGGACTTTTTCACTCTAAAGAACTTAGAGATTGTTTAGTCCAGATGAGAAAACTGAAGCCCAGAGAAATAAATGAATTATTCAAGATGACCCAAGTGATTCACATACAGGATTCACAAAAGAGTCTAGCCCAGTTGCATTCTCCAGGACGCCATTGCTGAATACAACCAGCCCTGCTGGTCATTCACACGGTATACTCTCCCTAACCTTCCCCATTTTAGGAAACAAGGTTCTAGCTGAATACCAACATGACCCATTTTTTCTTAGGAAATATCTGTATTTCCAAGAAGCGATACTCATACGTGGAACCTCTCTGCACACTACTTCTAAGGCTGCTGCCTCGCTAAATCTGCCATTTTCACGGATGCTTCAGGACCCCTACAGCCAACTGATGCTAGCAGCTGATGAAGCCTGTAGCTATGCCCAATCATACTTCGCTGTTTCTTATTCCTACTTCTTAGGTCAGGACAAATGTAGTTAAGGCCCTACTCAGCTCTTGGCCCATCCCCTATCTCTTTCCTGCCCTAGCCACATGGTCAGTACCCACACAGTTCACACCCCACATGACCAGTCGTCACTACACCCACTGCATACTTACCCACAAGTCTGGAGTCTCACACACCACACAAATTCAGCAGATATCTCACACACCTACACACACACACTCTCATGTAGCTCATACACAGCCTAGACTCCAGGGTAGGCAGCTTCACATGCCTTAGGTCTCTGAATTTGCCCGTCATCTGGCTCCTATCCCTCCCATCCTGGTCTGATCCTTCTCCCCTCAAAAACAAAAGACCCCTTTCCTTTCATTTTGGAGTATATCTAGAGTAGGGGAGATGGAGGTTGTCCCCTCTGGGGCCTAGAAAGTGACTCTCCCTTTGGACCCTGCTACATACCCCAAGCCAAGGCCCCAGGAAAGAGTTGAGGGGAAAGAGGCCAGAGGCTTAACTAGGTGAGGCCAGGGGGGCATGTACCTTGGGGCTGGGCCTGTGTGTGGGGGGGGAGGAGGACAGAGATGCCAGGTTTGGAGGCTTTCCTACCTGGAAGCCAACTGCATCTGTTCTGATGTCACAGGTTACCCTTGGAGCTCAGCCCTCCTGACTCCCACCCTCCATCTGGCCCCAAATGCTAATGCCACAATATAAAGGAAACAGACCTGCTCTCCTCTGTTCAGAGGACTCAGTAGCATCTCCAGCATCATCCTTAGAATGAAACAGGGATAATTCATCCCTCTGACAGCAGGAAATAGAAGTCTAGAAAGGCCAAGGCCTCTCAGAGTCCATTAGGGTAGAAATGAAATAGCTAATATTTCTGTAGCACTTTAAGGTTTGCAAAATGTTTTTGTATAGTATCTCATCTGGTCCTCATAACAACCTTGTGGGGTAGCTGTTATTACCCCCACTTCATAGACATGAAAATGGGGCTGACAGGTTACTAAGGTCACACAGCTAATAAGTGTCTAAGGAGGGATTTGAACTCATGGCTTCATGACTGCAAACCCCCAAGTAGACTGGAGTCTCTTCACTCTGCCACACTCTTCCCTTCTCCCCAGCTCTCCAGAGAGCTCCAGCCTTGAACCCTGATGAGAAGCGAATAGGGGAAAGAGAGAATAAGAGTAGGAGGAGAGGCTGGAGAGGTCTGGAAGGACTGAGAAGTCTACAGAAGTGGGGGATCCTGGGGCCCGAGAGGCCTCCCCTGATACTCCTCAATCTCCTCTCTCCCCTCCCTCGTCTCCCCCACTGCTGACCTGCCAAGCACTACTCTTTTTGGATGCTTTTAAAATTTTTTTCTTTATTTAGACAGAAAAAAATCAACTTATTAAAAGTAAAACGCAATAAATAAATAAGTTAAGCATTGAGAACTGTTTGAAATTTAGACTCCCCAGGCTCCCCTTCCCATTCCCTCCCCAATCCACCCCCACCCCTTCCCCTAAAACCTTTTCCTAAAGAAAATGACCAGGTAATAAATCCCTCCAGCCCTCCCCCTTTTCCCACCCACACCCCTTCCCACCCCTGACCTTCAAACCAAAGAGAAAAAATTAAGAAAGAAAAAAATCCACGGGGAACATTGTCTAAACTCCCAGAAAGAGAGATGGCAGCGTCCGGGCCTGGCTGGCTACCGCACCAATGTGGTATTTACAGGAAAGGGATCAGCAGAGACTGTAAACATTATTTGGGGGAGGGGAGGTCTTTTCTCTTGGGGAAGGTTCTCTGTGGCTGAGCAGGAGATGGGCAGCCCCAGAGGGGGACTTGGGGAGGCAGTGAGCTTCAGGGCCTGATGGCCCAAGTACAGGAATGTCCTACCTCTAGTAGGGGCAGAGGAGTGAGGGGGGTGGGGAGAGCTGCTGAGAGACCCCCAGCGTGGAGGAGAGGCTAGGAATGGGGGGATCAGAATCCCTCGTTCCCCTCCTAGGGGTCTGCACAGTTCAAGAGACAGAAGAAGTAGTCCCCTAATGGGGAGAGGTGGGGGGAGAAGGCTAGGCATTGGAGGTGCCAGGGCACAAGTACCACCCCTTGGTAGGAGAAAGAGATGCCCTGGAACACTGGGAGCTGTGCCCCCTTGTTCCCACTCTGCAGCCTTTGTGAGGTCCAGCAGGTATCGGGGAGGAGGTGGGGGCCCAAGTGATCTACAGGGTCTCAGTCATGTCATTCCCCTCAAGACTGTGGTGGGCATCGGGGGGAGAAGAAAGTTGGTTTGTGAGGAGGGGTGAGGCTAAGTGGAGGTGTCTGTCCTGCTTCCCCAGGACCCATGAAGCAGCGTCCCCAGGGGCCCCAGCCAAGGGCCAGAGCAGATGTGCAGAGAGGGCTTGGGGGTGGTCAATGGGGGAGGAGGGGATTGGGGGAATGTCCCCTTCCTCTGGCATCTCCAGACCTGTGAATGAAGGAAACATCCGTGAGGGGGAAGAAGACTGGTGAAGGGATGAAAGGGGAGTGGGGTGAGGAGAGGGGAGAGGCACATGGGAGTGGATGAAGGGAGGTCAGCATTTGTGGCACCCAAGGGAGGAAGGGGGCTATCAGTCCAAAGGGGTCTAGACTCAAGGGGAGGGTTTAGGTTGGGGGGCAGGGAAGGAGCCAAATGAAGGAAAAGAAGCTACAAGAAACCACAGGAGGTTAGTGAGAACACATTCAAACAGCAAATGCGGAAGAGCAGAGGGAGAGAGACAGAAATGTAGAGGATCGGAGGGAAGGAAAGGAGAGCCAAAGGGCCAGGAGGACAGAGAGACAGGAATCAGTGGGGGGATGCAGCGGAGGAGACCAAGGACGGTGTCTCTGGGGCAGTCAGAAGAGACCAAGAAAGCCACAGAGGGAGAGCGAGCCCGCCGGCGCCGGCGGGAGGAGCGGGAGGAGCCGGGTGGGGGTCCTGGGGAACTGCGCTGGGGCAGGGGTTTCCATGGAAGAAAACACTCCTGACCCAGCTCTCCGGCTTGTTTCCTCGGTTTTTACAAAAGGAAGTCACAGCGAAAGAGAGAAATGAACAGAACACAGACCACGATCACCACTGTCTGATCAAACACGGCCCGCGTGCTGCCCCCCAGCCCTTGCACGGGGTTGGGGGGGCATCCTCCCCCCACTTCCGCGGCCCCGCCCCAAAATAACAAACATTCGGCTCCAAAGACAACACGCTCGTTCCATGCGACTTACAGGGGCCCGGAGCAGGGGTCCGGGATGGGGGCGTCGGCCGACTTTGGACACGGGCCCTGGGCCGGGGGGCCCCCAGGGTGGGGGGGAAGTTAAGCAGCCGGGAGTGGGGGGAAAGGGGGAAAAACAGAAAGTGTGGGTATCGTTCTTGGGTTGTGCATTTTAGGGGACTTCGTCCAAGGGAGATAAGCAATAAAAAATAGAACCAAGTGTCGTGTCCCTGGGACCCTGAGGTCAGGGTGATAGCTGCTGAGGGGATAACGGAGACTCCCGGCCGTGAACCTCCTCTAGCTAAACCAGAACTGCTCCCAAGGATGCCGAGAGTTGGGGCTCCGCCTCCTCTCTCTGCACTGCTCCCTGCGGATACCCCACTTCCCCTCTGACCCCGACCCCCACCCTTCACCCCCCCAGGCTCCTGCCGCTGAAGCGAAAAGGGAGGGGATGTCCTGGAGCCCGCCTGGGGCGGCCACTGGACCGGCCCATGCACCCCCAAGTCCTGACCCCCTTACTCCTCTCCAATCCGAAGCAGAACCAGGAGAGAGGCACACACAGACACACGGACACACGGAGACCAGACACCAGGGGGGCAAGGGAGGACACAAGACAAGGACAGATACAGCTCTGGAGGCCACAGCCCCAGGAGCAATTTATTTGTGTGTCAGGGGAGAAGGGTACATGCTGGTGGACACTGTGTGAAGAGGCTTGGGGGGTGGGGAGATGAAGGGGAGCCGCCCTGCATTGCTCTCCTGGGAGTCTGGGGTGCAGGGCACAGAGGGTAAATGGAGGAGGGGAGGAAGGGGATGGCCAATGGGCCACGGGAGGGGGTAGCCCTGGAGCTGGAGGGCATAATAATGAGCGGAAGGATGGAGAAGGGAGAAGAACCCACCTGCTGCCCCTCAGTATGGGCGATTGGCATCCTTGGGCCGCTTGAGCTGGACTTTGAGGCGCTTCATGCCAATCTGGAAACCATTCATGGCCTGAATGGCAGCCTGGGCGCTGGCCGGATTGTCGAAGCTCACAAAGCCTGAAGGGAGGGATGGGGGTGGTCGAGGCCGTTTAGACTCAGCCAAAAATTCCACTCAACAAATGTTTATTAAGCACCTACTATGTACATGTGCAAGGAGTTGTGGACAGAAAGATGGCCTCAGTCAAGCAGACTTGAATTCGAGTCTCACTTCTGATACATCCTAGCTGTATCCTTCTCGGGCACTTACACAATGATTGCTGAGCCCTTGGTCCACAGGGTTTCCTTGTCGGAAATTCCCTCCACCAAGGAAGGCACAGATCTGGACCCAGTGACTGGGTCAAACCCCGGGGAGACAAAGACGAAATGCAAACCCATCCCTGCCCTCGGCACTTCCAATTTAAGCAGCAGCCCCCCCTAAGTGTAATTGTGCCATCCTTCCAGTGTAGGCCCTCCTATAGCTTCCTTTTTTTTTAGGCAATTGGGGTTAAGTGACTTGCCCAGGGTCACACAGCTAGTAAGTGTCAAGTGTCTGGTCTGAGGCCGCATTTGAACTCAGGTCCTCCTGACTTCAGGGCTGGTGCTCTACCCACTGTGCCTCCGAGCTGCCCCCATAGCTTCCTAACTAGTCCTCCTGATCAGTCTCCTCCCTCTCTGATCCATCTCTCACATAACTGCCCAAGTGACGCACCATCTGGCCAAGCCTCCCTTCTCAATTTACTCCCGCCTGCTAATTACCACTGGGACAAAATACAAACTCCTCTGTTCGGCATTCAAGTCCTCCCCAGCCTGGCCCTCATCGACCTTTCCTGTTCGTCTTTTTTACACATTACTCCTTCATGCACCCAAGGTCCAGCCGAACTGGCCTTTCTGTCTCTGTGACTTTCCCCGGGTTGTCCCCCATGTCTGGAAAGAGCTCTGCACACACTGGCCTCAGCCTTCCCAGCTGCCTCCACACTCCGCTCACATCCCACCCCTTCCATGAAGTCTGTCCTGACCCTCCCTCATTAATTCTGTGTGTTTATTTCGAATATATGTGACACGCACTTCCATGTCTAAGTGTCGTCTCTTCCCATAGAATGTAAATTCTCTGGGGGCAGGGACAATATCATTTTTGTCTTCCTGATCCCCGTGCCTAGGCACAGTGACTGCCCCCTACTGGTTACTTAATACATGTTTGTTGATTGACTCTGGCTGACCAGCACTCACTAGGCTGGTCCTCAGATCCTAAGACCTACGGAAGCCTATCCTAACTGGGGGGACCTCCAGAGACACAGCCACAAGGAGGCGCGACAGTAAGATTTAGGCATGAGGGAGAAATCTAAGGACACAAGAGGCATTCCAAGAGCTCTCAGAAAATCTGGGGAAGGAAGAAAGCTCTTTTGGCTGGAGCCCTAAAGCAGGGAGGCAATGCTGCTGGCTGGCTCCCTGGTTTCCTCTATCCAGACTGCCTCCTCCAGGGGATCTGCTTGGATTTCAGAGGAATGGGAAAACCCAACCTCCTCTGCATCACTGACTCTACTCCCCCAACACAGGCAAATTCATAACTGAAAGGGAGCTTAGACTTTATTTATCTAGGCCAACTTATGACATGGTGTAGGCAAATCCCCTCTACGGTAACCCCGAGACATCATTCAGCCTGACTGCCTCTGACAACGCTGAGCTCACAATCTCCAGGCGGCCCATTCCACTCTTTGTTATTATTTTTTAAAATACGCTTCTATTTATAGAATACTTTTAAAGATTTGCGGAGCCCTTTCCGCACAACAACCCAGTGAGGTATGTAATGAACACTATTCTTCCCATTGTGCGGATGAGAGAGAGGGTCCTCAGGCCCAGAGAGAAGGGATTTGCCCTAGGCACTGAGCACCACAGTTGGAATTTGAATCTAACTCTCCTGGCTGCAAGGCCATGGTTATTTCCACCATATCATGCTGCTATTAGAAATGGGTTGCCTATTCTCTACCAAAACTGTGCCTTCCTCCAGAACAACAAGAAAGAAGGAAGGCCTCCCTCACGTAGCAGCCCTTCAATTCAACTCATTCCACCAAACAGTATAGTATACCGCGGGAGGTATAGTAAGTGTTTGAAGGCAGCGGCCTTCACTGTCTTTCCTTCAGGCCTGACACAGGCACTTTTCAGTTCTTCCTCCCATGCCACGGCTTCTGTGCCCCCTCCCCCAAGCAGGACTGCTTAGCCCCTACATGAACTAGTGCTGGTCCCTACATGGGAAGGAGGAGATGGAGCCAGGAGGATCTTTGGGGTGGATAGGCTGGAGGGAGAGTGATCCTTACCAAAACATTTACTCTGATTAGTGGCCCGGTCGACAAAGACCTTGGCAGATATGACATGGCCAAAGGGAACAAACATCTGTAGGATCTCAGAGTCAGTGAACTCCTGGGGCAGGTGATAGATGAAGATGTTGCAGCCATCAGGGCCTGGGGAGTTGGAGAGAGGGAGACAGTGACAGGGCGGTGAAGAGAGAGAGAGAGAGAGAGAGAGAGAGAGAGAGAGAGAGATAGAGAGAGAGAGAGAGAGAGAGAGAGAAGAAGGGAGACAGAAAGAGACAAGAGACAGAGACAGAGAGATGAGAGATGAGAGGCAGAGAAAAATGACAGATGGCTGAAGCAGGCCAGAGCCCCCCAACTTAATGCAGGTCAGGGTCTCAGTAGCACTCTTCCCCACTCCCCTCCTCATTTCCAGACGTCTGGGCCCCCCACTCCCCAGCAGTAGGATCCTATGCCTGCAGCCCCCACTGTCCAGGCCCGCCCCCTGCCCTGACACATCCCTATCTCCCAAATCCCCCCACCCGAATCTACCTTCTCGCTGCTGTTGTTGTTGCTGTTGTTGGGGGGGTGGAGGGGGCTGCTGGGCGACCAGGGCTGGAGGCTGAGGGAAGGCGGGCGTGACCAGGCTGTAGGCTGCTGGGTAGGCTGCTGGGGGGAGGGGGAGGGGAGGGGAGAGAGAGCCAATGGGGCTCTCCCTGACCCACAGCCAGCCTTCCCCCCACTTCCCCCCAGTCTCTCCAGAACTGGAGCCAGTCTTCAGTCTCCACGGTTCATTCACCCCTGTCAGATATCTATCTAGCCTCGTTTCTTCCTGCTGGGGTTTCAGTTTTTCAGTGGAAACAGAGAGTAATGTCCCAAATTCCCACCAAACAAGAGGCGGCTTTTACCATGTCCCTTCCCTTGGGTTCCCATCCTTTCCCCACCTGTGTAGTGCTGCATTCCTGCGTAGGCCTGCTGGAGAGGGTCCACGGGGGCTGCGGGGCTCTGGGCTGGGGAGAACAGCAGAGGGGTTGTGAGAGCCTGGACGGGAAGGCCCAGAGGCAGAGCCCAACCAGGCACATCTCTGACCTAGCCCACCTGGATAGGGGTGGACACCATTGGGATAGAGGGTGTCAGGGGCTGGCTGCCCGGTGGGCTGGGTGGGCACAGGGCTGTAGCCGTTGACACCCAGGGCGGCAGGGATGGCAGAGACAGGCGTGGCAGCGATGGCAGGAGGGGTGCTGGTTCCTAAGGAGGAGAAAGGGACAGAGACAGAGAGAGAGAGAGAGAGAGAAGTAGAGAGACAGATGCACACACACATACACATGCACATGTACACGCACGAGGAGAGACAGATGGAGAGTCTTAGGAGGAATTTCGTGGGGTCCTACTGTGAAGGATAAGGAAGCAAATGCCCCTCTCTTTTGTTCACAGACCAAAGGGAGCCCTGACCCTAAGCCTTTCCAGGCTCATCCAGGCCCTCCTAAGGTTACTGCCTCCCTTTCCACCCCCTGCTCCTGGAAGGTCTGCCCACGGCACACTCTCCCATTAGTTCTGCTGCAGACTACCCTGGCCATCCCCTGGCTCAGGCGTAAGGTAGGTCCCCTCACCATTCCTGGTCCTCCTTGACCCTCTCGTGGCTGTCCCATCTCCCAGCCCATCCCTACCTGAGGAGGGGGTAATGGGAGTGGCAATCAGCCCGTTGGCGTTGATGGCAGCCATGTGCTGCATCTGCACGGCCGCCATAGTGGCCATGGGGTTGAGGTAGGCACTGTGAGCTGCTACCAGGGCCGCCTGCTGCTGCATCAGCTGGGGAGGTGGGGAGAGGGTATGAATGGGGCTGGGCTCCTGGATATCTCCCCAACCCCTTCCCACCCACCCACCTGAGCAGGCCTGCATTTGGTATTCTCCCAGGGGTGAAGGGCTGAGTGGGAGAAGAGGAAAAGAATAGAGGAAGGAAGGTAGACAGGGTAGGGTTGGGGGAATGGGCCCAGGGTGGAAAGGAAAGCTTAGGGATGAGGGCCTGGGGGCCAGGGAGAGCAGGACTGCAGATGAGACTGAGGGTCAAGAAGGAGGAATGGGGAGGAGAGTGGGAGATATTTGATGGGGCAGAGAAGTGAGGGAAGGATTGAGGTTGCTGCTCACAGCTTGGGTGTAGGCGCTGTAGGCTCCAAACTGGAGGGCAATGGGGCTGAACATGCCCAGTTGGGTGGCCACCTGCTGCATGCGTCTAAGGCCTCTTTCCTTCTCTGTGTCAGCAAATTTTACCACAAGGCTGGATGAGGCACCCTGGGAACAAAGAGCCAGCAGCGGTCAGATGACAAGAGTCAGAGGGCCTTCCTCTCCTACGGGCAGGCCTCTAGCTTCCTGCCCTGGGCTTTTTCTCACCAGTGTCCACAGCAGGAGGGCAGTGCTATAAACTGACTGGCTAGCATCCTGCTCCCCCTTACTAGGCAGTAAGGATTCCCTAGGCTCAGGCAAAGTTCCACTAACAATTTGCTCGATGGCTCTTGGAATTAATCAACCAACTAACCAACCAATCAGTAAGCAAACCTCTTTGGGACCCTAAGAGACCCCAAAATAGGGGAAACTGTCTCTGAATCACAGAATTTCCGAGTTGGAGGAGACCTTAGCAGTCATACCCTAGAGTAAAAAGAATCTCCCCTACCCCCACTGCCTCGAGGGGCGGGCCACTGCTGAACCTTCGACTGTTAGAACATCTTTCCTGACATCGAGCCTAGGTCGCTTCTGCGGCTTCCACACATTGTTCCCCCGCCTCTCTTCAAACACTTGGGACACCATGTCCCTTCCTCCACTCTCGCCCTCAGCCTGCTGCAACAGCTCTTCCTTGGGCACAGGCGCCTTCCCAATCCCACTGCCGTCTGGATACTCTGCTCTTCACTGTCCTTGCTAGACTGACCCTAGCCCTCCTGGGTTCTGACCCAGGCAGAGGACACGTGGACACAGCTTCTTTGGTGTACCACCCTGTTAATTCGTACAGAACTTGCTGTCCGGGGAATCTGCGGCCTTGAGGCCACACATGGCCCTCTAGGTCCTCAAGTGTGGTCTTTTCAGCCAAAGGGCCACGTGTGGCCTCAAGGCCACAGGCTTCCCAGCCCGGCCCAGACCCTCCAGATGACCTGCTATCTAACTCTGCCTCCCCATCTTGTACTCGGAAAGCTGAATTTTTTTTAACCCAAATGTAAAACTTTACATTTACCCCGATTCCATTTCATCTTACAAGATTTGACCTGATGCTGTAGCCTATTCGTTCTTTGTGGTGCCCTGCAGTCTCCTAACGCACTAGCTATCCTTCCCTGGCCCTCTTTCCTTCCTTCAAAAGGACATTAAGAAGGAGATAACTGACCTGAAGGTACTGGAAAAGTAAAAGTGTCACTGAAATTCCAGGGATTACCATGGCCATCATCACCACCATCATATCACCTCTGGATGATCTGATTTGTGGATTATCTGGGGTAGAGGTTTATAATCCCAGCCCCCCCCCCCAGGCTGCTGCTTCTTTGACCCCCAATCCTGCACTCCAGGAAGGCAGAGTGGAAGCATCAGCCTGAGGCAAACAGAAACTCTTTTTGTTGGAGGGGGTAGAATCCGCCCTTTTAAAGCCTCATGGGTGCCACAGGTGCCTTCTATCAGCAGGGCAACTAGGAGTCAACAGGCTTCCTTGTGCTGGCCAAGTCAAGGCCCCACAGGGTGAGGGATGAGGAGGTATGCGGCTACTTGAAATGCCATCACAGTTCTGAGCAGCAATGTTTACCCCTTGGCACAGACAGCCAGGGAGAGTGCTTAGCTTAGGCAGGGATCTCAGAAAGTAGGTCCCACAGCAAGGTGAAAGATTCTCACCGGGAGGGTCCGGCTGCTGTGGAGGGTGTTGATGGCAGCCTGAGCCTCTGCATGGGTCTGAAACTTTACAAAGGCACAGCCTGGGTCGGGGGAGAGAAAAGAGAGAGTGTAAAGGGATAATTGCCTTCCTTCCAGATACGACTCTATCATCACCTCTCCCCCTCCCAATCAGAGCAAAGATGCTGGTGAAAAATCCTCTGACTCTCCCCACATTGCCCCCTCCTTGCTGAAGGCCCTGCAGAGTCGCAAAGCACCAGAAGGGACACAAAGAGAGGGGTACAGCCAGCACCTAAATACTGGACAGGTTACCTTTGCTGGTCCCATCAGGCCCCCGGAGCACGGTGCACTCGTCAATGGTCCCGAACGGTTCGAACATCTTCCTGACATCTTCATCCGTCTGCTGCTTCCCTAGCATCCCCACAAAGAGCTTCCTGTCTTCTGGGAGTAGGGCGGGAGGAGAGAAAAAGGCCTTCAGAGTCTTCTTCCTTGCCCTCCCCCCACCGTAATGGAAATGTGAGAAGAGAGGGGAGGCAGGCTATTTCCAATCCATCCTAAGCCCCATGTCTATTCTGTGTGCCACTCCCCACCCCCACATGGGAAGTAAAGTGGAGGAAAGACCAAGGTGAGGGAAAGGAAGAGCTGAACTACAAGACAGGGTGCTCATCTCCACTCTGCCAGGACCTCAATTTCCCCAACTGCACAATTGGGACAACCACTACTCCTCCTGCCTTGGTCCAGGAACCTTTTGGAAATCCCAGTTTTTCTTCATAGGGGATGTCCCATCCACTCCTTTAGGCTCTGGGTGACCTGATAACCAGGACAATGGGAAGAGCTGGAGGAATGAGGAAGAAAGATCATAGCTAAGGAGAGAGCCTACCTCCTCTGTTCTCGCTGTCTGCTGGTTTCACCTGGATAGGTCGGTTCATCTGAAGGAGAGAAAACGATGGAGCTGCTGGGGACCCTTCTCCAATCAGCCTGAGGCTGGGCCTTTGGAGAGGGGCAAGGGGTGCTGACCCCCCCGTCCAGGTCATTCCCCCACCTCCATAAGTCTCGGGGAGTTGGCCTGCAGTCAGGGAGAAGGGAGGAAGGAGTCGTATTCCTCCCTTGAGATTAGGACCTGGGGAGATTAGAGGGCCACGGAGGGAGAGGAGATGAGGGAAGGAGATTCTTCTGGGGGGCACAGCGTCAAGATTTGGAAAGCAGGAGCAGGGATGATGATGGTAGAGTAGGACAGAGCCAACCGAATAGTTTTCAACCATGGCCATCTCGATTTGAAAAAGCAGGGACCAGAGAGGCATCCCCTAAATTATCCAGATTGAGAAATCCCACAGAGGACCCCAGATTGAAGTCTTGGACTGATGGAAACCCCAGAGATGCCTTGGCTTCCTCCTTGCCCTTGGGGGTCTCTCTGCCTCCTTTCCATCCCCCCTACACCCCTTGACCCCAGGGGGAAGGATCTTGGGCAGCACAAAGGGAGCAGATGCCCAGTCACCGTGGCAACGGGAGAATGCACGCCATGGCAACCGCCCACTCAGCCTGATTTATCCGTCCCTGTCGCCCCGGAGACCAGTGACGTCATCACTTCTGGTGCTCAACACGCCCAGAGAAGGGGTGGGGAGAATGGGGGATGCTGGGGGTGAAAAATTTTGTGGGGGCTGGGCAGTGGGCATAGGGGAGAGGACCAGGAAACCTTCCTTATTCCAGAGGGAAAAGAGAAGCAAAGGCCCTTTTTGGGGGTCAATCTAACCATTCTCCTGCCCTCCCTCTTCCAGTTCAAACACCCAGTTATCTCTTCCAAATGGAGTGATCTTTGAAGATGGCCCAGCCTCCCTCAAAGCCCTCCCCTTAGCACGTCTCCCACCTATTAGTAAGTTCTCCTGATAGCTAACCTCCCGACCTCCGGTAGTAGTCTCTCCTTGTTCAATCCTCAGTGGAAATGGGGGGCATCCTCAGCCCCTCTCTCCTCTCTTGCCTGAGTCCCTTGACCCTGGTGGGCCTCTGCCCTTTACAGGATGCTTTCTCAAACAGGGAATGAGGCACCTCAGAAGCCAGTGGGGAGGCAAAGAGACCTGAGAAGCTGAAATGACTGGCCACGGAGAGGGCCCTGCTCTGTCTCCCCACCTCATACCCAGTCATGCCCAAAGCCCCCCTTCCACCGGTCCTTCCCTTAGCACTGTGGCTATTTTGTTATTAACAACGCCTCAACAGTTGATTCAAAGAGAAAATATATATGATTGCCTGTTATTTCACATCTCTTGGGAGCTCCTTCAGGATGGGGTGAGGGGAGAAGGGGTGGAGGAGACACAGATATAGAAAGAGAAGAGACAGCATGAGAAGGTGAGAAAAGCCCTAGGAGGGTGTCCTGGGTTCTAGCCTTGGTTTTGTCACAAAGCAGCCAGGTGCAGACTGTGTCACTGCAGCCTTGTCATTTTCCCTCTGGGCCTCAGTTTCTTCATTTATAAAATGGGGAGGTTGGAGTAGGCCACCTCTGAGCTCCCTCTAGCCCCTCATCCTGTGTTCTCAGGTATTATTAACTTGATAGAGAGAGGCAAGCCATATCAGCTCATGTCTCCCACCCCTTATCTGTCCCTTTCCTTGTACTATTTCCATCAGTGTTCCCACTGTTTGTTCAGGTTTAAGCTGGGAAAAAACCCACCTGGTTAGACTCTGCTTGGGTCTTTTTCCCACTTTCCTGCACATTCCTAACTTCTAACAACACCTATATCTTACTGTGATTTTATCCCTAAACTAAAGGCCGAGGGACCCAGCCCCTTCGTGGATCATCAGATCAGAGGGCAGCTGGTGGAGGTGGAGGGGGATAGGAAAAAACCACCCAAATCCTCTCTCTCTGCTCCCTCCCAAGCAATCTCTGTCCTCTGCCAATCCAGGATTATCCCATCCAATGTAAAGCAGCTTAGGGAAGTGAGGGTGGAGTGTGTGTCTGTATTTAGCCTTTACTGGGTGTGGAGTGGTTGGGGAGGGTTCTTGATGGGTGGTGGACAGGGTATCACCACCATTCTCCCTTCCTTTTTCACTTGAACATAAGGAATGCCAAACAGGAGATCCCCTCATGACCTGCCAGTCTGCTAGGCTTCCCGTTCATCCCCAAGAGAGATCTAGGATTAAAAATAGGAGTCCAGGGAGTTCCTGTTCCTGGCTCAAAGCCCCCATCACTGGAACATACTGAGGACTCTTTTTATGGTAGATAGGGAAATTGAGACCTTCAGAAAAGAGGCCAGAGCAGGAGGGAATGAGAAAGGAACTCAGGCATCCAGAGAACCCCTGAAAACAGGAAATAAAGATACTTTCCCCTCTCCTCATAGGGCAGACAAAATAAAAATACACACATGCCTCGCAGACACAATAAAGTATCTACTGATAACGATAAATACATAGTACAAAGAAGTATGTACACACAAGCGTACAAATACAGGCTTCCAGACACCCTGATGCAAAGTATCAACATTTGGAAAGGCTGTTCTCATTCTCTCCACCAACAACCCCCTTCCATGCCCCTAAATCTCCCATTTTCAGCCTCTCTTCTGTCCTTTGCCCCAGTCCTTCCTGTGGGAGGCTCTGGCTTTGTTAGCTTAGCTTGGGCACACCTGCCCCCCTCCCCAGAGTCCAGATGTGCCCTGTTTACCTGGCAACCAGGCACCCACTGGGGCCCCTGTTCCCTAGCTACCCCGGCCAGGTGACAGGCCTTCTGCAGGCCTTCCCAAAGAAGAAGGGGCTATTTATACCTCAGGCAGGTACAGTTTAGGTCTCAGCGCCAAAACATAAGCTTTGAATCTTCCCTGTGCTTAGGCTATGCTTAGGGCTCCCCTCCACCAAGATATTCCTAAGTCTATTCACCAAAAGGTGAAATGCTTCCCCACTGATGCCCAAGTGTCCTAGCCAAAACTCAGGTCCTTCAGGTACAGAATATATTATGGGTAATAACAGTAAGCAATAATAACCCCAAGTGAACTAATTGTGTGAGATTATTTTTCAAATATAGAGTCTCAGGTCAAACTAAAAGCGAAGGTGAAGATGCCATTGTGAGACCACATCCCACTACTGAGGAGATATCCAAGGGCCTATGGGGTGTGCCACAGAGGAAGGAGAGTATATAACCTTCAGGCCTCATCCTGACCCACCCCTGTGGAGTGGCTCTTTCTCATCAGATTGGTTCCTTTCAGATTCTTGGATGAGGAGACAGGGAAAGAGGAGAAAGAGAACCAAATACACTCATAAAAAGGGGGCCTGCCAGAGGAGGGGATAGTGGGGAGATATTAGGAAGAACTGTCCAACAGAATTCCTCTTGTGTGTGAGCATGCACACACACACACACACACACACACACACACACACAAAGGCTGTCTGTGGGGAAACAATGAAGCTCGGAAGGAAGGCAGGTGGCAGGAGAAAAGACCTGAGGGAGGGGGAGGGGGGAGGCACAAAGGGCCAGGCAGGCCTTGGGCTCAGACATCTGCTCCCCCAACCCCTGTCAGTACCCTTGTCCTACCCCTTCAAATACCCTGGTTGGGGGTATTTACTTTCAAGGCTTACCCCAGGGGTGCTTAACTCATTCCCTGCCCCCCAAGTCTCTGGAAGCCCTGGACTATGCTCCCCAGCATGAAGGCTAAAGTGGTAAACTGCACTTCAGTTAGGTGCTTTAGGCCTATGCTGGGCAATCATTAACCTGGCCCCCAGCTTTCCTAGAAACCCATCCCCCATCCCATTTGCTTAAGAAAGAGGGAAAATGCTTCTCCTTTCCCCATCTTTCCTTCTTGCCTGAGCAGTCTCAGAGACCTGGGGAGGGATCCAGGACAGATGCTCACTATCCCCCCTACGCTGGCTGGTCCACACTGAGCCCAGACCCTAGCGCCCACCCGTCTTACTTCCTCCCTCAGTTTCCTCTCTTCTCCCTCCCAAAACTCTCTGACTCCTGAAATAGAGACAAAAGAGATACACACAGAGAGGCAGAAATGGAAACGGAGGCTGCTCATACATGAAGTATATCTCAGAGCCACTGAGAAAAGAAGGAAAGGAAAAATGGAAGAGACAGAAAAGAAGTTTCCCCATCTACATGTGCTCTCTAAAACACACTACTACACAGAGGTATTTACACATGCAAGTGCATATGATATCTATGTAGATGCATGCACACAGACCCGTAAGCCCATACACCCCATATACTCCATGTAGTCGTGTCCATTAACTTCATGGAGTCATGACCATTCTAAGGCTCGTTCTGTGGGTTAGGGGTGGGAGTATTGGGAAAGTCTAAGAGGCTGGCTTCCTTCTTCCTGAACTCCTCCTCTCCCTCGGCAGTGCTAATGAGATTAAAAGGATGCAGGAGTGTAGAGTTAAGCATTTGTGAAGGGGTTCAGGTTGGGAGCTGTTAGAAGGGCCTTGTTCCCCCAAGTCCCCAGGCCTATCTTCCTGGCTCTCTTTCCCTATCACCACTGGGTCACACTCTCTCCAGGAAAAAGAGTAAGGTCTACTTGCCATCTCCAGAAAGAGACAGGGCTGAGGCCCAAGCAGATGGAAGAGAAGTTGTCTCAAGAAAGACTTTCTGGCAGCCATAGGGTGAAGACAAGGGGATACTGTATATAGCAAGAGGGACTGGGGCTTTTCCTTCCCTCAGGAGAGATCACTTGTCTGGGTGGCAGGAAAGAAGGGGCAATGGGGAGATGGGATGGCTGGGGGTGGGAGGGAGCTGGCTAGTCTAATGAACCTCGGAGTCTGTCCTTTTGGCCTCAGTTGTCAACCCAGCCCTGTGTGATAACCTACCAGACTGATGGAGGTGAGGAACAAAGAATCGCTGTTTAGTGGGAAGCTGGGCCTCCCCTTTAGGAACCCTCTTGGCTTTCCTGGACATAGCTTCTCAAACCAGGCCCCGTTCCTCAGAATGGCAGAAGAGCCTAGTAACAGACTAAAGTCTGCCCCTCCCACCTAAGGCTCCTCCCCGGCTCATCTCTGTCCGTGTCCTGAACCATCTTGGCATTCTGTGGCTGTCAGCTTCCTCGGCCTGTCATGGGGGCACAAACTGGGCCAGTCTGAGCTCTGAGATGGGCCCCGATATGCCAATCCAACAGACGCTCCCTACCTATTTCTCAGGCCACCATAGAAACTGCCCACCCCCTCTGCCTCACACCCAATCTGGCTATTGGTTCTTTTTCAGCCATGGATACAGTGCCCTTGGGGGCCTCTTGCCTATTCCAACTGGCACTCAGAGAGCAAATCCTAGCAATTGAACATTCCCTTCCTCCAGTCTGGGATCAGCTAAGCCTCTGGGGGATAACCTGTGCGTGAATTGGGAAGTAGGAAACAGAGCTTGGGTCTACTCTTTCTCACAGGACAAGCCTATTTCCCTGAGAGTCACTAAGCTGAGCAGGAAAGGGAATGATAGGAAGGATGGAGGCTTGACAGAGGGAGGGCTTCCTGATAACTGGGGATGAGAAAAACCTTTTGTATAAGCCTGATATTGGGTACCCCTTGTGAACAACTGGCTCCTGAGTGCTGGCAAGGGGAGGCAGGAGTCCCCCGACTCCTTCCAAGTACTACAGCCCTGCAAGTACTGACCCTGCCAAGGCTGGGACTCACCCCTGGAAGCGTCTTCTGCTCGTGCAGGGCGCTCTGCGCCTTCAGGGCTGAATCGCGGGCACAATATGTCAGGAAGGCACATCCTGGGGGGTGGGGTGTTGGCAAAAAGATAGGGTGGGGGGGTGAGTCAGCCGACCTCTCCTCCCTCCCCTCCCCAAGTGCTTCTCAGTGTGGGGGCCTGAGGGCAGGAGGCCTTCTTTCAGCAGGGGCAAGTCTCTCCCTTTCCTTCTTGACATCTTTTGACTAGCTGGGGGTGTGGTGTGATGGGGAAGTGACTGAGGGGCACATTCAGTTTCCAGGGAGTTGTGAGAGATGGATGTTGCAGATCTGGGTGGAGAAGGGGGCTGAGACCCCAAAGGGAGGGAGGTGGGGATGGAAGAAAAACTCTAAGAAAGGGGAGATGAGGCCTTGGATTTGGGAGAAAAGGGGCGAGGAGTTTCCAGACAAGTGAATGTCGCTCTCCCCTCCCTTAGCTTTCCCTTTCTTTTTCTCTGTCTCCTCCAGCTCTCTTCATCTCTTTCTTGTTGCCACCATCCTACTGTCTTCAGATTTTCCTCATTTCCTAATTACTTTCCAACTTTAGATCCCTCTTTGTCTCTCCCATGGAAAGAAATATGGGTGGGCGGAGAGTGGGCTGGAGGGGCAGGGAAGGGAAGAAGCCGTTGCCTGGAAGAACCTCATCTTAGGGCAGGCCTGGGGGCACCAGAGGGGATGCCAAGCCCTGATCTTGGATGCTTACTGCGGTTCAGGCCCTGGCCCTCCAAACTTTTCCCCAGCTCCTGATTCCCCTTGGATGGGCCTGGAGACCATTCTGCCCTCACCCAACTCTTCCAGCTTTCCTAGATACCCCCAGTTCTCACTGCCCAATCTCAGGCTCTCCTTTCTTAACCCGGTTGGCCCTCCCTCTAGTTCCTTCTCTTCTCCTCATTCTTCAGATCTGACCCTTGTTCTCCCTACTCCCCGATACTCTGGGATTTCCTAGACTCTCAAGTTGCCTCTGTTCCCTCTTCCTCCATTAGCCTTCCTCCTTCCCAAACCAGATCTCATCCCTGCTGCTCTTTATCCTCTTCCCTAGCATCATTGCTCTTGTACTCTTATTTTCTCAGCTCCCCAGACCCCCTCCCTAGCTCTGATCCCGATTCTCTGTAACCCTCCAGCCTCTCTCTCTGGACCCCTGACCAGAGCTGAGCTTTTCTGGGCTACTCCATGCTTCCTTCTACAGTCTCTAACCCCCAAGGCCCCCTGTCCCCATCCACTCCCTTTTTGGTCCTCAATATTCTCAGCTTGGCGCTCTCCCACCTTCCATCTTCCTTGACCCATCCCCCAGAGCTTTTCCAGTTCACCCCCCACATACTCCCTAGTTAATGCCTCCCCTCGAGGCTTGCCCCTTGGCCCCTCACCCTTGTGCAGCCCGGTGTACTTGTCCTTGATGACGGTCAACTCGAAGATTCGGCCAAACTGCTCGAAAATTGGCTTCAGGTCCTTCTCCTCCAGGTGCCTTGGGATCTGCCCCACAAACAGCTTGATGGCATCTGGCTCCTTCATCGGGGCGGCCCAGGAGGAGGGGCCGAGGGGGGCCAGGGAGAGAGGCCCAAAGGCCAGGGGTGCTTCCCGGTGAGGAGGGAGGTGGTGGGGGCCGGGGGCACAGCTGGGGCTGGCTCCCCCTTTGGCCCCCAACCACACTGCCTGGGAGGAGGGGGTGTTCTTCACACAAAGGAGATTGAAGGGGATAGGAATCCTGAGAGCCCAGGGGTCAGAGGTCTGGGCTCACGCTGCTATGCCAGGGGGCATAGCCCAAAGGATTGATCTCTCTCCTAGAGATTTTGGCAGATGTCCCAGGATTGGTGGTTGTAGTGGTGTTTGTGGGTCAGAACCTGGGAACTGAGACTGGACAGCACGATGCTGAGACTGAGTGCTTGGGCTTGAGAGGACTAGAAATTGGAGACTGAGACTAAGAGCTGGCTGTGGCGGGGAGGGCCTGAGGGGAGGGGGCCCTCGAGCTCAAGGAGCTGGAGGCCTTGTTGGGTTGCCTGGAGTGTCAGTGGGGGAGACCCCCGGATTCCTGATTTGGGACAGGCAGGTCCTTCCTTAGCTTCCCCCCTGGCGGACAGCTCCCCTGTGGGCTGATCCTTCTGGTGGGTCCGATGATTCCTGATGCCCAATTCTTGATCTTTGATGGCGGCAGGACTCCAGGGCGTCACTTTGCCCTGTCCCTCCCCCCAGTCCTGCCCCTACCCCCCCACCCACCCCCACCCCCAGTCCCCGGGCCTAGGCGGGCTCCCGGCTGCTCCAGCCGCTGGGGTTGCCCGCTTTCCCAGTCACCTGGGTCCTGGAGCTCTGCTCCCCGGCTGTTCTCTCCTCAACAAAAACCTCCCCCTCCACACCCCCCACTCCCACCTCCCTTCCCCTGACATCGGTGATGTCAGCCTCAGGGGTAGACTACAAACTCTCCACCCTGGAGAGGAACGAATAATCAGGCATGAGCCACACCCTCCCTCTATCTCAAGTCTCTCTTATTCCCAACTACCCCCAGCAGAGCAGCTGGTCCTACTGACAATTACCCCCTCCTTCTCCCTCCCCATCAGCAGTTAGATGTGTAACTAAGAAAGAGAGTTTACAGAGGAACCCTAAGGTAGGGTCCATTGTTCCGGGGCTGGAGCTGTCCCTGGTGCTGGAAAGGAAGGCCCTGGAGAGGGGAGCTGGGGAGAGGGGCAGTGAGGAGCATGGAGTCTAGAGAACAGGAGAGAGAGGAACCAGAGATGTGGCCAGGGAGGGTATCTCGGAGAGGAAAAAGGCTCAGGTAGCAGTAGTATAGGCTGAAAGCCAAAGGGGAGCGGAAGGGGGAGGGGACAAGAGAGTAGAGTAAAAGGACTAGGGAAAATAGGAAGAAAACGAGGTGAAAGGGAAAAAATCTAGGGAGAAAAAGGCACAATCAGGCGGAGATCAGAGAGAGCAGGAAAAGCACTGCATTTTACTAGTAAATGAGACAGAAGAACCAAAGTTGTCTGGTATATAAATGTTATTCTTGTAAGCTCCTTAAAGGATGGAATTATTTCATTCATTTTTGTATTTCCCACAGTGCCTAGCACACACACACACACACACACACACACACACACACACACACACACACACACATACCCCAAACATCTATGGAATGAATGAATGAATGAATGAATGAATGAATGAATCATCTGGCAAGAAGCAGTTGGGTGAGGGGCTCCTATGATGGTGGGGAGGAAAACAGTTCTGAAAGCCTTTGGGAGGAGACTGATCTGTTCCTTTTTTGACTTTATCGTGTCTTTTACCTTTCTTTGTATGCCCAGCATACAGTTGGTGCTTAATACATGCTTATTGATTGACTGACTTTATCCTTTTAAAAGTTTCTTCTAGTGAGACTCCCATGTTAAATCAAATAATAATAGCTTACATTTACAAACTGTTGTAAGGTTTACAAAGTACTATTTGAACAACAATATAAAATAGATGGTGCAAATATAAGTTTGCCGTTTTACAGATAAGAAAACTAAAGTTCATCGAGGTGGTGATTTCCCTGAGGTCACACAGCTACTGGGCATCAGAGTCAAGGACTGGAATCCAACTCTCCTGACTACAAACTAAGCCTCTTTGAATCTGCTATTGCCTTCCAGATACAAAAATGTACGTGGGAGGTAAATTTGGGATTACTCCCCTCCCCACAAATACTCTGACTGATTTATATGACTTCAGAGTATTTCAAGACTTTTCATTCTGAGAGGTAGCTTAGCTATAGTGGAAGGAGCACTGGTTTTAGTTAATAAACATTTATTAGGCACCTATTTATTAAGCTAGTTGGTACAGAGGACACTGTACTAGTACTAGTACAAGTACTAGTACTTGTAGTGTGCTACAAGTCTAGGCACTGGGCCTAGACTTGGGAAGATCTAAGTTCAAATCTAGCCTCAGATATTTACTAGCTGTGTGATTTAACAAGTCACTTAACCCTTATTTGCCTCATCTGTAAAAATGGGGACACATTGGAGAAGGAAATGGCAGACCACTCCAGTATTTTTGCCAAGAAGACCTCAAGAACAAGTCCATGGGTTACAAAGAGTCAGATGTGACTGAGCAAGAAGCACCTACTATGTGCTGATAGCTGGGAATAAAAAGAAAGGCAAAAGACAGTTCTTGCCCTCAAGGACCTAGAGTTGAAAGACCTGTTTCCTAATGTTTCCTGACACCATAACCTTGAATAAGCCATTTAATTCCTCTAAGCCTCAGGTTCTTTATCTATAAAATGGAGAGAATAATATTTGCACCACTTGCATCACAGAATTACGAGGAAAACGTCAGGGATGTGGCTTCACTGGTTCAGGGAACTTCCAGGTGAGGAAGCTTCCTCTACCACTGCAAGCCAGCATCTTCTCTGAAACATATAACCAAAGACAGCGTCTTGCCTGGGGCCCCAATGGCCAGTAGCCGGCACAGGCAGGATTGGAACCTGGGTCTGCCTGACTGCCAGGTCAGTTCTCTAGCTCTTAGGCCCTTTCCCTATGTGAATTATCCAAGTACATGAAACCTTAATTAAGCAGACGTCCCTTCTCCCTACTCTGGGGTGACGCTGGTTTCCTCGAAATGTGTTCCCCCTTCCTGTTGGCTGTCAATCACGCTCATAATTCCAGTAGCCTCAGCACTTTAACTGACATGCCACGGGCAGTGGGGCCCCTCTGAAGCCTTCACCCATGCCACAGAGTGGGAAACCATGCTCTTTCCCTTTTTTCTGACATCTAGTCCTTGGAGCATGTGTTCTGTGGACTGGAATCACGCATTGGTATTTGGAATGGGTGTGTATGGGGAAGTGTTATAATCTTAATTGCCTCCTTCTGCCTAAGACTCATTACCAGAAAGATGTCTTTGCCAAACCCTCTGTGTCAGAGCTGGCAAGGCACCTTGACTAGACAGAGGGCCAGGGGCACAAAGGCAGATGGAAAGTGCAAATAGGATAAGAAGGGAACTTTCCATTGTCCCCACCTCCACCTGTCTGGCCTTCTGACCTCATCATTTATGCAAACAGCAAACAGGTCAAACCCCCCAGGATGGGGGCCAAGCAGGACCCCAACACTCTGCTGATCTCAGTATTCCAGGTCTTGTCAACAGATGTGCCCCTCTGATACTCACTCAGACTTTGTACTAATCATCTTAAATGAAATATTAAATGTTTCACCAAAAAAATGATGATGATGAACCCTGCCCTTGTCACCAGGATAGGGAAGGCAGCTCCAGGATAGCAGACTAGCCCCTAGTTTCTAGTTTTGAGGTCCACAAAAGAGGTCACTGGATGTTCCAGTCTGTGGGGAAGGTTTTAGGAGAGAAAAGCTGGGAGCCAATGTAGATTCGATTTAGTTCAGGATTGTCCTTATTTACTGGATGACCTTGAGGAAATCCCTGACCTTTCTTCTACCTCTTGTGAGCTGCCAACTAAAATACCTGTCATTTCCAAGTCATCCTGTGAAAGGTTTCTTTGTAAGGAAGTCCAGGGGAGAGTTCTAGACAGATCTCTCACCTACAGACTTTCACGTGGGCCATTCAGGTCTCATACAAGGAAAGCCAAACAAAGTATTATGAGAAATCCGAGGAAGGAAAGACAACTTTCACCAGGGGATGGTGGTGCTGGCACTGGTGTGCTTAGGAAATCAAGGAAGGCTCGGTGAAAGAGGTATTTGGCATATGCATTAGGCCTTGGAGGGAGGGACTTTAACAGGAGTTAGTCTCTAGAGCAGTTTTTAGCCTTTTTTGTTTCATGGCCATCTTTGGCAGGCTGGAGGAGACTTTGGACACTTCAGAAGATTTTTTAAAAAAAAATTAATAACTGAAGGAAATGCTAAATTTCAGCTAGAAATTAGGTAGAATAAAGATGTAAACTTTCCCATTTAAATTCATGGCCCCCCAGTTAAGGAAAGTTCCTTTCCTCTAAGGAACTTAGAGGGCTGTTAGAAAGCAAAGGAGCGCAGACTCATCAAATTTTATAATTAGAAGGGGTCCCAGCAGCCAACTGGTCCATTCCCTACCGAGAGAGAAAGCCCCACGCTAACCTGCCCATCAAGTGGTCATTCAGCCTCTGCTGGAGAGCCACTGGAGGAGTCTATTCAACTTCCGCACAGCTGGGAGGGGAGTTGCTCCTGGCAGCAATCCTACATTTTCCATTTCCCCTTAACTCATATCCGTCCTGGCCCTGCCTTCTGGGGTCAGACTGAACAAGTGCAACACCTCTCCCATAGGGCAACCCTTCACACCCAGAGATCATGTTCCCCGGAGTGCTCTCCTCTCCAGTCTAAACCCACTCAGGTCTTCATGCGAGAAACACTCAAGAACCTTCCGTCCTCTGGGCGCTTTCCAGCTTCCCAATATCCTCCCATGGCTCCCGAAATGGAACATGATGGTCGGGATATGGTTTGACCAAGGTAGGGGCAGCAGACCTATTAGCTCCGTATGCCTCCCTTAATACAACCCAAAAATCACATTTGATTTTTTTGGGTACCCACAGTATACTATGTTGGGCTTGCAGT